TAAAAATAAGGCGTAGGTACTTTCCCATTTGTTAGGCGGCATGACGTTAAAACGACAAATCAAAGAATTCAACTTTATATATAACTTGTATACGAAAATGGTGCTGATTAAAATTGCACCATTCCAGGCCCTTTAATTTGTTTTCCACATAATTAATATTACCAATAATTAGCCAGTTCCAGGTCGACGGGTTCAAACAAAGATTTTAAAAGCAGAGAAAACTGTGCACCTTATAATCAGCATGACTTTATCAGAAGACAATACGAATACTAAAAATCCAGGCTAAAAATAAGGCTTAGGTACTTTAATACAGTCACGGACACGCGATGTCGTGGGTGTGTTCTAGTATAACTTAAACGTCCACAATTTTGAGTGTCACTACCAAAGAATAAATTTTGGGGTCCCTAACAAATATTGCCTCTGCAGCTGCCCCAAAGAGCCCACTCTTCGAAATCTGCAGAAGGGGTCTTTTACATATATGTACTATAGTTTAGATGCTATCTCCCTTTACGTTTAATATGACGGTGCTAGCTATAAAATTTAATAATAATTAAACTACAAGCCATCCGCTGTATTTCAAAAGGCTATCTGTTTCTTCAGAAAATAGCCATACTTTGCGTAGTGATTATGTAAACAATCCATTCATTTTTTTTTTACACGAAACTCAGATGAAGTCCAAACAACAAAAAGAATCAACAATACTGTATACAATTCTATAATCAATCATCATTCAAAAATGTTATAGAGGTACACCAAAAAATTCAAATAGTTTTGCCCATTTTCACGTAACTCGACTTTTGTAACTCGCAACTCTACTTTTGTAACTCGCAACTCGTATTTCGTAACTCGCAATTCGACTTTCGTAACTCGAAACTCGACTTTCGTAACTTTTGTTACTCGCAACTCGATACTCGACAACAAGTGAATCTCAGGATAGATTCTGTTTGATTTGTCCGCATATAGGCTAGAACCTTGCAGGTCGATTTTTCAAGGTAAACTTTGATCTCACATTTTTACTTGAGTTTTCGGCCAAACTTTTTTAGAAACATGATGATTTCATCCTTGCCATTTCGTGAATAATCAAATTTTAAGCATTTTTCTTAGACTCACACAACAATTTTGTAAATATCTTCCAAAAGAAGTTTTCAAAGGCACGTTAGATTTAGATCCAAGACGAAAACAGACTTGATTATCCGCAAATTTGATATGAAATGTTACTTTTAATCTACAACTAAGAGAAGCAATTATAATCAAAAGGGTAGAAATCAGGTGGTGCAAATCCCACGAAAAAAGTACCTAGGATTAAGCCATATATAATTTTCAGAAACAAAGTGGCGGAAGAAAAAAAACTAATCGGAACCAATTCAAAACGTTTTTTCACGGAAAGGGGGAAAGCCCTAACTAGAGTAAACCAAGAAAAAAACGAGATCCAGGATACTAAAGCAAGATCTATTTCTTTTGCTTAAATGTTTTGTGTTAAAATATTGCTTGTATTTTGTACATATAAAATATTTTGTTTCCTGCATATTGTTAATTTTTTTATATGTTTCTGGGACCCCCATATTGGAAAACGTTTTCAGAGCTAAAATATACTTTATCAATATTGTTTAGAATCATCTGCATCAAATAATTTACTAAAAAAAAAAACCCAGAATATAAAACGTTTCTAAGCTAACCAACTTTCCCCACAACACCTCCCTTTTGCACAGACACATAATATATTTTATTTTGTTATATTAATAGAAAAAAATCAAAAAAATTGTCACAGAAACGATGTAAATACCTAGGCCCTACTTACTTTGTTATCTAAAACTTAGAGTGTTAAATAATTGTTTGTAATGTGTGCATCTGAAAACATATTCTCTGCATAGGGTAAGACATTTTTTTCAAATATGTACCGTTCCCTCCCTTTTAGCATCACGTTCTCAAGTATATTCATTACTTCCTTTTTTAAGCTCGTCATTTTTATGTTAAACCTTCTACATATTTAAAATTTTTAGATTCATTTATTATATCAATATAAGACAAACAGATCGAAGGATTTATATAAACTAGAGCCTTTAAGAAGCATGAGTCTCTCACCTAAGTCTATGTGCATCTTCAACAATAGAAACTGTCCAACATTGTGACTAGATTATAATTCATGATTTAAATCTAATTTTTGTTGATTTTGAATAGCTGGTAATTTTTTTTCTGTCTACGTTTTCTATCTTCTATAGTTTTTGCACACAACCAAAAAGAGGTGAAAATAAATCGTCATTTAATTGCAATAACTCTTGTAAGGTGTACACTGGAGACTTTACATTATTTAGTTTATTTGTAGATCTTGTCTTGCTGATCATTTTTTGCTTTAAATGTTTTTTGTTATAGTTTGTCAGAGAAAAGGCAAATAAGTAAAAAAACATTATTAAAGGACAATACTACAATAAGGAATCGACTTAGGATTTCGGTCACTTGCCTTATTTGTAGATCTTGTCTTGCTGATAATGATTGCGTTTTTAAATTTTGTATCCATCTATTATAGCTTTCAAGATAATAGGCAAAATCACAAAAAAAAAATGGTAACAATCGTCACTTAATAGTTGATACTGATAACAAAATGGTTATGAAGTTTGATATTGACGATTTTCATTTTTGCCGTTCATGAGTTATGGTCTTGATAAATAAGAAAACGGGCATAGAATGTGGCATGTGAAAACAGCCCGAAAGCAATTTTTGAAATAAAGAAAACCGAGTTTGCTGTCATCTTGACAGCTCGTTACTTGCTTTAATGTTTTAGTAATATGTCTACTTTGCTTACTAGACTTTCATTAGTTGCTGCATAATGATATTTTAATACTTTGCTGTGTTTTTTGCTTCATTGACTAATATTAATGATTACATGTAAATGTGTATTTTTGCATTAATTACAATATTTATTTTAACTAGAGTGCAAATGTAATTGTTTCATAGACACGACAGAGTTATCTTTCTTTGTACTAGTATTTATAGTATTTTATTAGTGTTTATTAGGGTCTTTATGTTTGTCTACGTTGGTATAGATGATTGTCATCTGAGACCCTTAACTGAAGAACCTATATTCAACCGAGGTCCAAGATATACTCATAATAATTGAATACAGAATAAGTTTTTTTGTCGTGTCTTTACTGTTACTCAGAATATTACGTCTCATATCGATTTATGTGTTGGATTTATTTTAAACCAGTCTTGTTAAGGAAGTCACAAAAATACGTGTAATATTACATGATTAATCATTTGAACTACAAGAGCTAATAAAACTATTTTCTTCATTCTTTTAAAGTTTTATTTTGCAGTGGAAACATAATTGTAATAAAAACAATGAAACAGTAAACGGTAATTCAAGAACCTTACAATTACAAGTCGTGGTATGTTAACATCAGTATCATGTTATATGAACATACTGGGACTTTTATATTGTACTATAAATTATCAAATATTCATAATAATATATTTTTATAAAAAATGTCACATTCCAAAACAGACTAGAAAGTGATATTTTGTGATGGTAAGTTAAAAATGAAGTCAATGTACAGAAATCATAAAGAATTCCAGTTAAAACAGCTAAACATTGAGGCAACAATAAACTGTACAATGAACCAACGTGCAAACAAAGTAAGCAATCTAATACAATATTTTCTTTCGTGTAATATGCACATCTTAGCACGACAGGTGCCACATGTGGAGCAGGATCTCCTCACCCTTCCGGAGCACCATTTTTTGATGGGGTTCGTGTTGTTTATTAGTCGTTAGTTTTCTATGTTGTGTTTTGTGTACTTTTGTTTGTCTGTTTGTCTATTTTTTTTAAGGATGTTTGCTACTCTGTTTCAAAATAACAAGCTTTTTAAAAGACTGTTATAAATTGATAGTATATAAATAACAGAACTAAAAAAGCATAAAAAAATTATAGGTCCGTGTCCTTGTTTTTGAGATATGAGCCATTGAAAATTTGGCGGGAAATGATTCTCTCTAGATTTTTCATACATTAAGCGTTGACATCTTTTTTCTTTCAAAAACTATGAAAAAATAACAAGGATTTTATAAGATTTTCAAATATGGCCTTTTGAACTATATGTTATAAAATTATGAAAAGAAAAGTAGAGGTTAGCGGGCATAATTTTTTAATTTCACTACATAGATAAAACCAGAGGAATCCGTATACCTGACAAAAATTCAAAAACAAGAGGAGCAAACATGCTTAAGCCATGGCGTTGTCAGTTTATTTTTGACTTATCAGTTTGAATGTCATTTTGGTATCTGCCGCCTTTAGATAAGACTTTTTAAGGTGGTAACTAACACTACAGGGAGATAACTCTGTAAAAATCAGCTAAACGTTTTAATCATATTGTATTGTTATGGAAATATTAAGCTTCTCAATGATCAAAATTAGTGTTTGTCAAACTGCTATATAACCAATGAAATTTTTCTGATAAAGTGTTTGGTTCAAATATTTTGAAATTTTTATATTTTTGTCAAAGGGTCAAAGTAAACATTTTGTCAAAATTTTATGAAAATTAAACGAGCCAAATTAATATTAGTCAAGGTGTTGGGTACCACCTTAAGAATAATATATAACAAAGGTCATTTTAAAAATAACATCAAACAAGCTTTGATTAGATAGGTCCTGCCAAATTTACGTGATGCCTATGACATTGATATTTCTACAATGTGATCATTGATATTTCTATTCCTATATAGTTACTGTTCTCAACAATGATGCATGTTTGAATATAGTTCAGATCAGTAAACAATCAAAGGAAACTGATCATTTACACAATTATGTTTAAATATCATGTTTGCACATGTATATATCATGTTTCACAAATTATGAATGCGTCTCATGTTAAGTTAATTTAATAACAATTTCGTTTAATTTTGTTATAATTTTCAATAGTTTTGTATGGAAAAGGATAAACTTTCTTCTCTTATTGTCATTAAAAACAGATAACTATAATAATTGCAAATGAAGACATAAATCCAACAACTGACTATATTTTTAATATCAACCGCAACACAGTACCTTGTCCATAATACAAAAATTGAATATTATTTTATACATTAATTGGTATCTTTTCTTATTTAAGTGTTTTATTTGCAGATCTCACCAATTTTGTACTTGACTTGGTATTTCAACTATCTAAAGCGGAAGTGTTTATGCTTCTGTTGACAAATTGCGCATTTACCGTTGTACAGTATGTGTGGTATCGTGGAAAAAGGTAAATGTTTTATTCCAAAATTTAAAGGATAATAGTTGTCATTGGCATACAAAATGAGTTGCTACCGCTAATTCGGCCATTTCTTATTCATACAACAGGACATCTAAAGATGCTAAAATTTTAGCATTCAAGTACGAGTTACGATATTTCTTCGGAGGAACCATATAGATTACATGGTGTACTTATTAAGTTCAAAGAGCTATTTTGTCGAAATCGTAATTAGAACCTGGTATGCAAATCTAAAAGATTTTGAAGACAAAAGATACATTTAAAAATACATAAAACATAGTTTGCCGTAGTTGACATCACTGGTGACTAAAACAACATTTGCACCAGGAGAATATCGTTAAAATTAAACAATTCTAATATCCAGCAGTTCGGTTAGTTCTTTTAAGATGTTTGATTTATGTTGTAGTTAGTAGTTTGTATTCTGAAAGAAAGATATTCGAATGATAAAAATACGCATGCTTTTTCCTTTGATAAAATTACTGATAGTGTTAACCATACAACTAAAACATTAGTTTCCTTCTGCATGTTTAACATTTTAAAATAGTAGACTAAATTCACAAATATTATCTGGGGAATTATCGACTGAACTATACAAACGTGTGAGGCAAACAGAAGTAACGAAAACGCTTTGCAGGCATTAGTGTCTTTAGTCTTTCGTATTTTAATTTCTGAATGTTTTTATTAGATCTGATGAGTCAAGCAGATTTTTACAGTTTGTTCTTATGCTGTGCTGTTATGCTAAGCCACTCTGCCATTTTACTAGAGGGTTGCGCGTTGGCAAACATTTCAAATCCCGCCATATTCTGTAAGTGCATGTCCCAAGTCAGAAGCATTTGGTCAGTGATTGTCGTTTGTTTCTGTCTGTTATATTTGATTTTCTGATATTGTTTTGTTTATAAATCAGACTCTGGATTTTCTTAATGGAATTGTTTTTCATTTTGTTATAGCTTGCTTTACGGTATGGGGTTTGCTCAGTGTTTTAGACCTTACGGTTATCTATAAGGGTTTACATTCACGACATTTAGTCTCTGGTGGATAGTTGTCTCATTGACAATCATACCGCATGTTTTTATTTTCATAAAGCTATAATATATACACATTATAATTTTAATGAACATAATCATTTAAATTATTAAGGAAATTAACATATTCAAAAGCAAAATTCACCATGATCAAAATGAATATAAGCATCAGTAGTTTACCGATTGTTCAGATCATATAATGAAAAATAATATAAAACAAATCATTTTTTATTTGAAATGTGTAACTTTCAATAGTTAACATACCTATACTCCTATGTTGTCGGTTTCTTTGTTATTACTGTTAATTCATTTCCGGCAAATGGGTACCAGTAGTCTGTATATCTGTTCGTTAGATAAATCTTTTCCAATTTGAAAGTATATCCCTTTAACAGTGCATGCAAGAATGATTAAGTTGTTTGGAACACTACATTGAAAAACAAACAAACACAACATAAATAATAGATAAAAATTATATCAATATACAAAATAGACTACCTGAATAATTTTTGCTTTAAACATTTATATTTTTATAATTATTTTATTCTGAAATTTATTTAACACACCATTTGTATTGCATATATTGTTTGCTGTAAATTCCAAGGTTACAATCATGTTGTGCTTAAGATTTCAAAAAACAAATGATTTCCAAAAATGCGACACAAGTAGCCTTTTTCGAGATACATACTTTAGAAAGTTGATTTTTTAGGACAGTATGTTTAAGTCCAAAAAATATAGGTTCCCGTGGCTTTTCTTAACGTAATTTGTACTTATCTGTCTTGCCTATCAATATGCACTTAAAACACATGTCTCATCACAGCGTAGACATTATTACTCAATTCCGTTAGGGCTAAAGGAAATATATTATTTTGCTTTTGGTATAATGATATAATTCAGAGTGCACCAAGTGTCTAGTAATACAAATACCGGCTGCACACATAGACCAATCAGAATTAGTCATTATCTTAATTCTGATTACTATGTTACCTTCATAAATGGCTGCGCCCATATTGTCTAATGGTTGATTGTAACCTATACCGGTATTTACAATTTTCTAAAATCTTGCAATTTATGGTGCATTAGATGCACAAACGCGTTACTGTTAAAAATAGTCAGAATATAATGTTTATTTACTGCAATGATTCTTTATAGGTCATCAAGTACTGATTATATTGATCCCAAAAACTGATCCATTATGTTACTGCTACGGTGAATTTTGAACAACAATTTTAAATGAAACCATTTTCGTATAAAAGTACATTTTTGAAACAGACTATAGCATTTTAAAATATCAAAAATGTGTAAATATTTGTACCCACTCCATTTTGGACTCTATTGGATAGTTTCCATGTGTGCAGTAAAAGATGTTTAAATAGCATGAAATTCGACTGAAGATATAAAAACAGGCATAGGGGAGGGTTGCGATCTCACAAAACATGTTTAACCCCGCCGCATGTTTGCGTCTGTCCAAAGCCAGGAACCTCTGGCCTTTGCTAGTCTTGTATGATTTTTTGAAAATTTTGGTTCATCTATATATTTTCGGAGTTTAATGTGACGTCCATTTTCGCTGAACTAGTATACATTATTGTTCAGTGGCCAGCTGAAGCCCGCCTCCGGATGTTGGATGTTCTCGCTGTGTTGAAGACCAATTGGTGGCCTTGTGCTGTTTTCTATTCCTTGGTCGGGTTGTTGTCTCTTTGACGCATTCCCCGTTTTTATTTTCAATTTTATTACGTAAAAGATGCACATGTCAAATGTCTTTAATTTGTTTGTATACCTAAAAGATATTTAAAATGTGATAAGAGGTTGGTATTTATAAATGTTATAACAAAATAACGTTCATGCAATGTAATTATCATTCCTATACATCAAGAACATGACATTTTACCAAAACAGTCGAAGGAAAAATATAATTTTGGAGCAAACCTACTAAATATGTAAGTGTAAGGGCAGATTGATAGCTTGGAGTTGCATTAAAAAAAGTATTTTATTAGATCATCTGAAGAACATCTCATTGCCTGTTTTTAAGGATTCTCTTCAGTCCAATAAAGATGACTGTATTGAATCAAATGATATTCTCAGCGGTTCATTCGTTAGGACAACACGTTTAAACGTTACATTTTGATTATTCGAATATTGAAACCTGGAAAAGACGAAGCAATACTCTTTCTTCTCGTTATGCTCGATTAATATAACATAAAATATGTGTATAATCTCGTTTAAAACTAGTCAGGAATATGACGGTTGTTTTCTATTCGTTTGGTGTGTTTGAGCTTTTGATTCTGCCATTTGTTAAGGGACTTTCCGTTTTTAATTTTCCTTGGAGTTCGGTATTTTTGTTATTTTACTTTTGATCAAATACTCAAATCATGTACCCATTATCGTTTCGTTGTACTTTATCGTGAGTTCAATTTCCCATCTAATGATTCGAAGGAAAATAAAATAGTAATTATTTTCAAACTGCCAGGATCACCTTTGCTCGTTAAGATGAAGTTTATGATTTTTTGCCTTATGCGTGTTACCTTTCCAGTTATTTGTCGGACAATACCTCTTTTCCGTCTTTTCAGAGGGTGTAGCTATCTTATATCTGAACGAAAATCCAAAATCTCTAGATATATGAAAAAAGGAGATGTGTGATTTCCGCTGAGAAAACTATCCAATAGAGTCCAAAATGGAGCGGATGTAAGTAACGTTATGTCCCAGTACGACCTTCAACAATGAGCAAAACCAATACCCTTTACTTAGCCATTAAAACTGCTACATGAAAGCGACAGTACTTTACAGATGTTAAAATCGTGTAAACTGAAAAAAAAAGAGAACAATCAATTTGAACGTAACGAACAAATGTAAATCACATGAACTCCAGAAGGCGCAAGTCAGGATGAGCCGACAGGGTTTAGATCTCCATCTATGTATGCATCACCTTGCCAATTCACACTCAGTCAATGAGAAGCGAAAGATGATATCAAAGGGACATTCAAAGAAAATCTAAAATAAACTGACAACGCCGTGAAAGAAAGCATGAGCCCGGAGGGCGAATGGTTTTTTTTTTTTTATGAATCAACGCTGATTCATTGTATCTCTAACTTAACTTAAACTTTTGTGTTAATGTTTTTTTTTCAAAATTAAAGCCTTTTCTTAATTAGAAGGTATTATAAGTGAGTTCAAATAACCATGTTATCATGTACAACGATGCATTAATAAATCTATGTTCACAATTTATTGATTAGAGAAATACAAATATAACATAACACGTCTGTCTTTAAATTATCAGGCATCTGAATATCATCCGTTATTTACAAAATAAGACATATTCTAACTTATTTCTATGTACATATAATAAGTATGCTACCGAAAATTCTATCAAGTAGCCTAATTCTAGACACATCACGGTTTACTCGCATAGGAATTTGCGGATAAACATTTGTAAAGATATGTAGTAAGTAAAACTGATGAAAGCATACTATATTTATAAAACAAAAATGGACACATTGAATGTAATCATTTTCTTTTCAATTATGTGAAATAGCCAATAATAATCAAAACATTATTACAAAAATATTCACAGTAGCATACAAAATAAGAAAAACGGGAAAAACTAAAGAATAGACACAACAAAGAGAATACAGGGATTCGAACCTAAACCGACAAGTCTCTTATTTCAACATGACTCTTTAACTCATTGATATTAACCATGTTAACCTTGCGGCTACCAACTTATACTATACGATTGTCTATTATGTATACATAAAGGTACAAGCCCTGTGCGTCCGTTGTACCAATGTCTAGCATATGTTCATTTATATATATATAAACTAGACATTAAAATTGCAACACATTAGTAGCCGAGAGGTTTCGTCGATGTGTTGATGTCAGTCACACACAACAGATTCCAAGGAGGGGTTCGATTCCCAGTGAAGACATATAAAAATTACAAAAATTAAAGGTAAGTTTTTAAATTAATTCCATTAGTGAACAGAAATCAGTAAATTGGCCAATTCAAACTTAATGAAATTAGGCACACAAAGGAAACAATTGAATATAATTTGGTGAGTCCATTTAAGCGACAGATTTAGGAAGCGTTGATTCTAGAAAAAGAATCCACGGTAAATGAATAGGCTGACGTCACGACGATGGTTTAAATATGAACAGTCAATATGTCACAATGGGAAATTGGAATCGGACACTATCAGTCAAATTATCAATCAGACGACTGATATCTGAATATCTGAGACTGCAAAACATGTCGGCACTGATTGAAAGTAAAATCACAATAATACCGAACTCAAAGGAAAAATCAAAACGGAAAGTCCCTAATCAAATGGCAAAATCAAAAGTTCAAACACATCAAACGAACGGATAACAACTGCTATATTCCTAATTTGGTTCAGGCATCTTCTTATGTAGGAAATGGTGGATTAAACTTGGTTTTATAGGTAATCTCTCACTTGTATGACAGTCGCATACAATTCCATTATATTGACAACGATGTGTGAACAGAACAAACAGACATAATAGGTAAACATGTCAAAATAGGGGTACAACAGTCAACATTGTGTTAAAATCTTAATCACTAAACAAACAAACAAATATGTAACAAAGAAACACAAAAAGATTGAAAGACAGACACATCATATCGGAGAAACAATACGTGTTGGTGACAGTACAACTTGTGTAGTGTCGATTTAAGTTGTTCTTTCTCATAACTCTGCTGAAGCCGTTTTTTGTTTTGTTTTAGGAGTACATCCTGTAAAGTCTGTTTAGTATGAACATGCACGAGCATAATGCATAAACTGAGATAGGTATTACACCATAAGATGGAGAAGATGTATGTTACTGTTGAAAAATATAAAGTTGATATGTGGAAGTATATCAGCTAAAAAGCGGATGTGTTTTGTGAAACCTCTATTTTTTTCTTATATTTGTTTTACAATAAAATATGAATGTTCTATCTAAATTGATTTTTATTTGTATAAAGCAAAAAATGTGCGTGGAAGAACCGGTAATATCGTTATTGGTCATCTCATCCCTCATAAATACGCCGATTCTATGTTCAAAAAGGCTATAAATTTAGAAAGACATGTATTCCTCAAAAAAGATATGGCTTTGATTTTACAAGGGATGTCAGTATTGTCATTTCACAAGCATGTTATAAATCTGCCAGTAACTATTACTGTCGATAAATTAATGCAAAATAACCCTCAAGATGTTTTCCAACTAGCATTGTAGGAATTATTTCCAAATAAGTTGATAATATAACTCTTAAACAAGCTTGTTATCATTAGATGTGTTATAAAGTTTGCATGCGTAAATGGTTTTAGTCGGATCCTTGACTATCATTCCGGAAATGCCAACCTCGTCCTCTATTAAGATATTGACATTTAGAAATGATATTTTTGATCTTCAGGCCTTTTATTATAGTTGAAATTTTTATGGTAACAAAATGCTCTGCAAAGTATTTGTTTCGTAAAGGGGATAACATAAGATATATTAATTACAGAAACATGAAATCAAATTGAACAATGTTTTTATGTACAATAAATTAACTAAACTATTAGAGTATAGTATGCCTTTACTTATTTTATAGACATATGCTAGTAGGTTACTTTGAGAATACAAGAAAAATGATGATGTCTACCTCTTATACAGTTTATAATTAAACCGTTTCAGACCAGGTGCATAATATCCATATTTATGATGTGTAACTGTACATGTATTTTCAAAATCCTAAAATGTCACTATTTAGACATATTCAAGTCGGACTAGTTGATTAAGGAACGTTCACATTTCAAATTGTTCATTTTTTATATTTTCCCTATTAACACAAAGGAATGTTGACATTTTTATGTTTACACAGTTATTTTTTAACAGTTTAAAAAATAAGAAGAGGTGGTATGAGTGGAAATCAGACAACTATCCCTCAAAGTTCAAATTAATTGGATGTAAGCAATTATAGGCAACCTTACGGCCTTCGACAACGAGAAATACCCATACGGTATAGTTGGCTAAAAAAGGCCCCGACTTAAAATATAAAACCATTCAATGTAGAAAACTAACGTCATAATCTATGACAAATTTACGAAAAACAAATATGACAGACACAAACCAACGACAACAACTGAACTACAGGCTCCTTACTTGGGACAGGTACATTAAGAATGTGGCGGGGTTCCTGTGCCTGTCGTTATCACATATAAATAAACAATATAAAAATAAGGAGATGTGGTATGATTGCCAATGAGATAACTATGAACCAAAGTTCAAATGAAGTGGATGTAAGCAACTATAGGCAACCGTATGGCCTTCAACAATGAGAAAAACCCATACTGTGTCATCGGCTATAAAAGGCCCTGACATGAAAAATATGAAACAATTCAATTGAGAAAACTAATGGCCTAATTTATAACAAAACAGTTTACGAAAAACAAAAAATGACAGACATGAACCAACGACAACCACTGAACTACAGGCTCCTGACTATGGTCAGGCACATAAAGAATGTGGCGGGGTTAAACATGTTTGTGAGTTCTCAACCCTCCCCTAACCTTGGACATTGGTGTAACAGTATAACATAAGAACAAACTATAAAAATCAGTTGAAAAAAGCTTAACTCATCAGATGGATACGAATAGAATTACATCTAACAAAAACACAAAATGGACGTGAACGGGTACTTGTACATCCCAAAAACAAATAGACACTAAGTACAGATCTGATTGTACTCACAGTTACTGACAGCTAGTTCAAAGCAAATACCGACTAATGAAAAAAATCATGTATCTAAGACTAAAATCTCAATCAGTACACATCCGACATCCAATGGATTTACTGTAAAGAAATCATTAACAGTCAGAGAAAAACATGACCTTTTGCAAGAGAGACGAAAGATACCAGAGGGATAAGTATCCACAGATTGTTGTACCCTGAAAGTACCTATGTGTAATATATAGTATGGTGTTAATTTACTGATAACAAAATCAATATTTACACCAATAAAAACAGTATTCAAAGATTTAATTAAAGTGTTGAATAGGTAACCCTTTAGAATAAGTTTATTTAAAGGATTGATAAGTTTACCCGGATCGTTTCTAAATTGTCGGGCTCGGTTTACAACATCACCTTAAAATTTAGGATGTGTTATTTCGTTTGAAATCAGTTTTTACAGGTACAGCCAAACTTGTAGACCAAATCTTTGTATCTATGAAAGAATTAAGTAAATGTTTTAAGTAATTTGTGGTAACGAAATCCCTGATTTAATAATAATTACTAGGGACAGAAAAATCATCCCTTTTGTCGTAAATTTGGTGTTTGAGTGGTAGGTTGTATGTTACATCATTTTCACCTAACATCGTACTTCTGGAGTATATGCTATTCCATATATAAGAATTTTACAAAGCTTTACTATGTTTAGATATTGAGTGTACATCTAAGAAAGTGTTTGTATAATACCCACAGAAGTTATCATTCTATTTTCGTAACCATTTTATAAAATCATTTTTTCGATAAAGATTCGAATGGATAGTGAGATAAACTGCTTCATTGGCTAATACATGTAACTGCAAAAGACATGCTGAAATAATGAACACAATTTTCAAATATATCAACCAGTTGATAGAGTCGATGTCCAAGTCAAAATTGAGGAAAAGGGTTTGCAAATTTAAAAAAAAAAATGCCTTTGTACGTCTAGTTCAAATCTTTAAAAAATACTTGAAATACTCGTACTATAAAACAAAAGTGGTTTGCCTAGATCATTATACTTACTATGCTCATTATTGTAATTTGATCGTCTCTTCCCTGTCTTCTAGTCGTAGATTTATTGACACCAAACAGAATTTCCCAACATATTTCTCTAAATTCGTTTTGCTCCATTTGCGGTTCAATATATGCAGTAAAATAAAAAAAATAAAGTATGTTAAAGCGAAAAATCGCTAAATTTTATATCAAATGGGCATGCTTCACATTTTAACATTAAACATAGAACAATGATCAACAAATTCCATACAGTTTTCTTACAAAAAAAAAATATATGTGTACGCAGGTTATGCGACGATTTTTAATGGATCACGGGTTTCGTACATATAAGTGTGGAGTTAATGTATTTATATCAAGTGATACTCATTTACAAATCTGAATAAAAAAGAATGCGAACGATAATAAAATCGTTTTACTTTATTTGATAACTAAAATGTTTTTTGTTGATAAAAACATGAAGAACATTTTACTCAATATATGACAGTGGTTGGACATGTCCATACATTTAATTTGGTGACACATGATGTAGTTGGGATGCTGTCTTTTTAATTTATATCAGTCATTTCAATATTACAAACCTTTGATTGTACGAATATGGTCGCTCATTTAATGCATGTACCCGGACATTCGTCATAAAACAAAATAAATAAAAACATATTTAAGATATATTGCAAACATTGTTCAGCTCTCAATAAAAAGTATATAAAATTATATAAGTACCACGTCTACAAGCGTGGGAAAATCAGAAACTTAAACGAATTTTCTTACTTATTGATTATAGCCTTTTTTTGTTTAATGTAACTGTGTACAATTTGACAAACACATTAAATTAACAGATGTAGTTGGTTGGCACAATCATGCATGTATTTATTTAGTCATTATATCAATTAATTCAAGAGGAATTGCAAACATGCAATCACTTGTATTTAGATCATTTGAAATCATTGGAAATGCATTTGTTGAAAATTAAAAAAAAACGTTCATAATTCATGACCATACATCGCTAGAATAAGTAAAGCATTCTAATACATATAAAGTTTGAAAGCGTCGGTTAGTACAAATTGTTATTAAAAAAATCATGTAAAATATCCAGTAATCAATATGATAAATAGATACACAAATCGATCGCTAAAACTTTTATATGTTCTTGAACTATTTATACAATTATATATCAATTTATGGTTTTCATGAACATTGTTAACATTTAAAAAATTAAGTATGCATTTCATCTTTTAACAACATCCATTGATGCTACTGCAATATCACTATTACAACAAATTCTGTTATTACATGATAATTGGACCGGTACCAATCTAAATGCATAATATTGAAACAGGAAAAACAGTTTAAGAAGGGCTATATTTCTACAATGTATAATTTGTCGGTGTCTGTATTTTCTCAATTTCGTGTTTATTTAACAGGCTGAGTTTGGTAAATTGTAAAGTTATGCCTCGGTCGATGATAATTATTTACTGTAAAACATTATTAATACATGTAATTTTAATTGTTTCAGGTAAATAATGTTATTCATTGAAATGAATAATAAAGTTTATTGGCTTGATTACTGATATATTCTTACCTTCTTGTTTATAAAATAAAAGTCCATATATCTTTATTGTTTCTGTATGAACAACAGCTGGGATTTGTCCTGAAGATTTGTGTACCTTTAAAATGTTATAAGAACTTGCGTAGAAGACGTAATCACCCCCAATATCAATTTCCCGGTTATAGTTTACATTTGTGCTAACCACTGTTTTAACATCAGACCCATTACACAAAGCAGATTTCAAGTCACCCGTTAGATATTCCATCCAATAAACTCGCTTGTCAACAAAATCTGAAATAACAACCAGATAACAAATATAAACGGTCTAAGAAGTAATCTACATTGAACACAATCACATTTACTTCATTCGAGCCAAATTGTACAATTATGTTAATATAAGGATGTGTCGCTATGATAAACGAATAACGGTTTGCTTGAAAGAGGATCTGAATAGTCTTTTACCTTTTCAACAGATCATTTTCAGTGACTATCATTGCATTCTTACTTTGTTATATATATATTTAAGATCTTTCCCAAACCTCCTGTCTTAGCTTTTCGGAGACCAGCAAGTCTAAAAGACGTATTTGTGAGAGCTGACGTCTCCTCTAATGAAAGCGGTTCAACTGCAGGATGGTGCAAATCGTGTGGTAACAGACGATGTCTAACTTGCCGATAAATACTGAATACTCAAACATTTACTTGCCACTCCACTGGGTCTGTGTACACTATATTTTGCAATGTAACTTGAAAAACCCAGAATGTTGTATACCTTCTTCAGTGTCGATGTGGCTTGCAGTACGTTGGCGAGACTGAGCAGCCATTCAACAAACGTATGAATGGCTATCGAAGTGACTACACCTGCAAACTCAAACTCCCCGTAAGTCGTCATTTGAGATCACCTGGGCTCGCCCAAGCTGATCTCAAAAACCTTACCATCACAATCATAGACCACAACGAGGGCTGGTCAAGGGCCGACAGACTTGCTCGGGAAAGGTTTTGGATAAGAAAGATAAGGACAGTTTCACCAGAGGGCATAAATGAAAAAAAATTAAATGAGTCACTCATTTTCCTACCATCACTTGTTTCCAGTAACTCAGGCTTCCGTACTTGACTCTTACCGTTTTAAGGAATTTTTTAATTATACCAGTTTAAATTACAGGGTTCTATTCATTTGGGAGGGATGTATAAGTACGCAGTCACGTTCAAATATTTAACCTTAGTCAAAATTTATTATTATTTTTTTAATCATTATCAAACTGTTATCTATTTGGGATGTTTAAATACACAGTCTCTGTTTTAATCACTCTACCGTTGTCAAATTTGAAATATTATACTAGCTTGGATCGGTCAGTGCTGTTTATTGGGAATGTATTTCCACGCAATCGTTGTTTTAACATCTTAACTGTCGTCACCTTTGAAATTTTAGAGTTGTACCAGTTCATATCTCACATTACTATTTTTATTTGAAGCATATCTTTGCAGTCTCTGTTGTAAATAGCTACATAACCTACGTTATGTTTAAAAATTTTAGAATTGTACAAGCGTTTCTATGATGTTCAGTCTTGACTGTTTTATTGTATAAATTTCAAGATTGTTATAGTTTTATAATCATACTAGATTGATATGATTCATTTTACATCGTGATCATACTGATGAAGGATATCTGTTTTCCGAAATGTTTAACATTTGTTCATTTTATTATTATTATTTTTTGGTGTTGTACCCTTTTAGACTTGTTATATATTATATTTTGTAATGTATTGTATCATATTCATATGATCCATCGCCCCGTAAGATTGATCGTTGGTTATTATTCAGTCATTTCATATATATAAATATATATATTAAAACATTATTTGGCCTTCCAAATACTGTTTCGATTCCTAACATCACTGAAGAGACATTAATTGTCGAAATCCGGATATGGTGTACTAATTTTTGCACCTTTTGTTTGCGGTATACAATCTTTTCCGCAAGTTAATTGTTTTCTGTTTGGTATAAATTAATATCTAAGATCCATTTTGTTACATCTGGTGATCCGTTTATTTGACAATCGCCAGTCAGCAGGGTTTAAGAACATCCGTTGTTCGACCTGCTAGTCAAATACGTTTTGTTAAAATATACTTTTTCACTTTTTTGGTCTTTTGGAAAATGTTGTTTGTGCTGTATTTGAACCCCTCTACCAAGATATTTGTTTTGCATGCAGACGTATTAAAATTGCGGTTTTTATCCAACGCAATCATAGGTTTGAACGTTGTATTCAATTTAGATTTGTTTATATTAAAAAATATACACTAAAAGGGTTTTAAAAGCAGCATTGTCTAGCGCTTTCATCCATCTTGGGACTTTTCAAGACTATAAACGTCGTTATGGGGAACACATTAATATTATGACGCAACGTCATTGTATATGTAACTGTTGTGCATTTAGCTTGGCGACAAACACTTTTATGAACTTTCTTTCTAGTTCTTTACGGTATTCCTCTGTTGGTATCGTACATTTGAAGAACGGGAAAAAATATAAAACAACGTTCAAACCTATGATTGCGTTAGATAAAAACCGCAGTTTTTATACGTGTGTATGCAAAACAAATTTCTTGGTTAGAGGGGTCTAAATACAGCGCAAACAACATTTTCCAAAAGACCAAAAAAGTAAAAAAGTATATTTTAACAAAACACATTTGACTAGCAGGTCGAACAACGGATGTTCTTAAACCCTGCTGACTGCCATTGGCGATTGCCAAATAAACGGATCAGCAGATGTAACAAAATGGATATTAACTATTAATTTAATACCAAACAGAAAACAATAAACTTGCGGAAAAGATCGTATACCGCAAACAAAAGGTGCAAAAATTAGTACACCATATCCGGATTTCGACAATTAATGTCTCTTCATTGATGTTAGGAATCGAAACGGTATTTGGAAGGCCATATAATTTACCTCAATTTAGGATAGACTCTTGAATAATTTTTAAGAATCGAAATCTGATGAACGGATCATATAAACCCAAAGGCAAATATAATACAAGCCCAAACGAAAAAATATAAACATGTCTAAATTAAAAACAATGCTCAACCCTATGATTGCGTTGGATAAAAACCGCAATTTTTATACGTGTGCATGCAAAACAGATTTCTTGGTAGAGGGCAGTAAATACAGCACAAACAACATTTTCCAAAAGACAAAAAAAGGGAAAAAGTATAGTTTAACAAAACGCATTTGACTAGCAGGTCGAACAACGGATGTTCTTAAACTCTGCTGGCTGCCATTGGCGATTGCCAAATAAACGGATCACCAGATGTAACAAAATGGATCTTAACTATTAATTTAATACCAAACAGAAAACAATAAACTTGCGGAAAAGATTGTATACCGCAAACAAAAGGTGCAAAAATTAGTACACCATATCCGGATTTCGACAATTAATGTCTCTTCATTGATGTTAGGAATCGAAACGGTATTTGGAAGGCCATATAATTTACCTCAATTTAGGATAGACTCTTGAATAATTTTTAAGAGTCGAAATCTGATGAACGGATCATATAAACCCAAAGGCAAATATAATACAAGTCCAAACGAAAAAATATAAACATGTCTAAATTAAAAACAATGCTCAACCCTATGATTGCGTTGGATAAAAACCGCAATTTTTATACGTGTGCATGCAAAACAGATTTCTTGGTAGAGGGCAGTAAATACAGCACAAACAACATTTTCCAAAAGACAAAAAAAGGGAAAAAGTATAGTTTAACAAAACGCATTTGACTAGCAGGTCGAACAACGGATGTTCTTAAACTCTGCTGGCTGCCATTGGCGATTGCCAAATAAACGGATCACCAGATGTAACAAAATGGATCTTAACTATTAATTTAATACCAAACAGAAAACAATAAACTTGCGGAAAAGATTGTATACCGCAAACAAAAGGTGCAAAAACTAGTACACCATATCCGGATTTCGACAATTAATGTCTGTTCAGTGATGTTAGGAATCGAAACGGTATTTGGAAGGCCATATAATTTACCTCAATTTAGGATAGACTCTTGAATTTTGAAGAGTCGAAATAAGATAAACAGATCATATAAACCCGAAGGCAAATATAATACAAGCCCAAACGAAAAAATATAAACAAGTCTAAATTGAAAACAACGTTCAAACCTATGATTGCGTTGGATGAAAATATATATATATATATATAACTTATAATTAATCTTCGATGGCTGTGAGCTGTATATATCTTCCATTATCCAACATAGTAAATAGTTATCAAATAAGGAACAGTTTAAACTTAACAAAACAAAATGACACATATCCATCGTGATATTACGGAAGACGGCTAGCGTCAGAGTGTAGTTTTATTTTTCAGGTCTTATAACGATTGAGCTGACTTGTTATAATGACCTAGCTTATCCTACTCGTTATACCACTTTAGCTTACTCTTTATACCGACTAAACTAACTCGTTATAACAACTTAGCTTACTAGTTATAATGGCTAAGCTAACTTGTGATAACGACTTAGCTAATTTAACTTGTTATAACGAATAAGTAACTCGTTATAATGACTTATATAACTCGTTACAACAACTTAGCTAACTCGTTATTACGACTTAGTAACTAGTTATAACGACTTAGTAACTCGTTATAACAACTTAGCTAACTTGTTATAAGATGTAAAACCACTAATCCATAGCCCCATTGCTTTATATGTTAAATTCTGCATTTTGAAGCATAAATGGCTACTTTGTCTTAAGTTCAAATAAAGTGTCAGTTATATCATGTCAAAACTATACCTTATCCTGACTTGTGCTGAAAAACTCAGCTTATATTTTTTTGCATATTAGAGCGTACTTGTTCCCAGAAGTTTGACAATACAAAAACAGGTACTTCTGATCCGAGCAACAGGGCAAATGTGCCTTCCTATTAAATTTTATATACTACTTTATTATTCAAAAGAAACTTTCAACACAAGGGTTCTACAGTGATCCTAAGTCCCAAAGCTTTCATTTGATACCAAAACTACCCAAATATTTCACCTATTGACAAAGACACAGCTATTCGTAGGAACTATTTTAAAGTATGTACTACTTTCTTGTATGTTCTTTCCGACCGGGCATAAATAAGTGGTTCTATACAATAACAACTTAATGACTTTCTTAATTCCAGCACTAAAATATACCCCTCTAATATCTTTGAATTATTTTCTATTGTCTTTTTATTTACACAGTTTTCTAAATTTCGACTTTGTGCGCATTAGTTAGAAACAGTTATAAGATGTACAATTGCCAAAATGAAATCATATGTCCTACATACATCGATAAGCGCAATCAGTAGTGGATCAATGAACTTTTAAAAAGTTGAGTGGTTAAATAATTAAAAGAGGAGGAGGAAGGAGCCAAATCTTATATCATACTATTTTTTTTAAGGATAAGGAGATAATCATTAATAGTCAACGGGTCAGCGAAAAAACACAAAAGATTAACATGCATAGGCATCTATTGACTATTTACGATACTGCATACTGAAAATTCAAAGACAAGTCTATCGGAACATTGTATGGTATGCTTAAATTCAGACATTGGAATATAGTGCTAAAATTGAGGGCATAGGAGCAAGGGCAAATTTAACAAACTTCTAGACTTTTTGCTTATCATTTTTTAAATTTGACTAAAGAAAAGGTTTTGCTTTGCTTTTCACTATCAGAAATTTCATCTTTAATTTCCCTTTTGCAACTGTACATCTTTCAACTTCTATTTCTAATTACTAGTAATTTGCACTTAGATGAAATCTATCAATAAGAAGACAATCGAAAATAAATTTAGACCAAGATATTCGGGGCATAGTTAAGTCCTGTGATTGAGAAAGTAGCTAAGTTGTTATAACAAGTTAGCTAAGTTGTTATAACGAGTTGGTTAAGTTGTCATAACAAGTTAGCTAAGTCGTTATAACGAGTTATAATTAGCTAAGTCGTTTAAACGAGTTAACTAAGCCGTTATAATGAGTAGGCAATGTTGTTATAACGAGTAAGCTATGTTGTTATAATGAGTAACTAAGTCGTTATAACGAGCTAGATAATCTTAGTCGTTAAACGAAATAGCTAGGTCGTTTTAACGAGTTGGCTAAGTCGTTATAACGAGTAAGATAAGCTTGGTTTTTATAACAAGTTAGCAAAGTCATTATAACGACTTAAAAATAAAACAACACCCTGACACTTACAAGTTTCCGTATAATATTCTTATTCTACTAGCATATACTATTTCTAACTAGTAGTCTAAATATGTGGCTAAACAATAGGAGTAACTGCCACACAGCAAATTCCTGGTAATTACTTTATGAATTGTTAAGTCATATTCACTGTATACTTTCAGTCGTTGTTTATTTCTAAATATAATTTGTTATGTTTTATAAAAATGCATTTCATTACACAGATACAATACGGTATCAATAATATTTCTACTTTATTAACCTATCTATGGATGACATACCTACTTTTATATATATCGTCAACTCTGTCAGGTAAAGTACTACGTGATTTTCTTTTCCGTCAAATGTCACCCTGTGCAATGGATTACTTTCGTGTGTACTATAGTATATCCATCTAATAATGTTGTAAAAAGAAAACATTGAAAATCTTGTAGATTTCCTCATATTCAATTTTGAAAAATGATGGAAAGCAAACATCACAAAAAAATGTATCATTCAACCAATAAAAAGATAGAAAAATAACATTAACGGTCATTTTGATCAAAACGTCATTTAAAAAATCAAGAACAAATTATAAAGGCATGTCTTTTAGTTTATTATTATGTTAATTCACTGCGCGAAATTTAGAACTGGTCAGACAATTTGCTTGCAATCAATTCAGTACTGTTCAGAAGCTCTTTAGACAATTCAGTAAATTCTTGATTTGCACAGGTAAATAAGAACTACTGAACAGTGAAAGCATAGAATAAACAGATCTTAATAAACTGTTAGCAAATTGTCTGAACAGACTGAGTTTACCGCGGTGAATTATAAAAATAAGAAAATGTGGTATGATTGCCAATGAGACAACTCTCCACAAAAGACGCAAAAAATTCTGATACAGAAATTAATAACTTAAGGTAACCGTACGGCTTTCAACAGTGAGCAAAGCCCTTACCGCATAGTCAGCTATAAAAGGCCCCGAAATGACAAATATGTAAAACAATTCAAACATGAAAACTAACGGCTTGATTTATGTACAAAGTAATAAACGAAAAACAAATATGTTACTCAGCAACATACGACAACCACTTAATTACAGGCTCCTGACTTTAAAAGTACTTGAATTTTGTTACTTATTCTAGAAATAGACGTATCATGAACTCTTTTCTTCATTTCTGAATAATGTTCAAAATGTAATTTTCGAATATCCACAACATTCATACTTTTATTCAAATAAGAATAAGATTTTTATTAGATTTTTCCCGTTTATTCGAATTTTTACAATAGGATGAAAGGGCGTCTTTTGTGACAACACGACACTGTTTACATTCTATTTTAGATGGAGGACGATATTTTGGTCCTTTTTCCAAAAGGTTTTGAACCTCTCGGTCTCGAACGATATTGAGGTCCCCCGTAATAACATGACCATAGGGATCAAAAATATAAGTTCATTAAAGCATTTGCACTTCCCCATTGATCGAACTGTTGCGCTAAATGCAAAAACATTGACATGTTGTTTTTTTTCGAGTGAAAAAATTGTCGGTCTGATTTGATTCAATGTTGTTTTGGTACTCACCCTTAACTTCTTGATAAAAACAAGTATCACGAGAAGAACGTTGAGATTGGCACAAGAATACTTTCAATTCGTATTTTATGTACAATATTTATAAACAATGGCTACTTTTTTGGTGAAAATTCACTTCGTTTGATACCTCAGCTTGGAGTGCTTCACAAAAAATGTGAGTTATGTAAGTTTCTTTCTCCTAAAATTTAAATCGGTCATAACTTAGAGTGTAAATATTTCTTTTTTTTGTAAGATCGCGTATGTCATATTCGTTAGCATATTTTACATTTGAAAATATTTTATCCTTTTCTTAAATTTGAATAACATGTACTGACGTTATACAATTTGTGCAAAATCAAATTCAAATTGGGCAAGCGGCACATATTAATCAGTTCACAATAGACTGTGTATAATTTAACTACAATATTTAAAGTTTTAAATCATTATTAAGTTTAAGTAGACAATTCCTTTGGGTATGCATCTTATTATGATTGAGCTCACATTTTCAAGCTGAAATAAAATAAGACCGAAAATACTGTTTGATTACATCTGAATTATTTCAAATGCTTCACAAACATTTGTTTTATTTTTTGAACGACAGATTGAAACAAAAATGCATGTTTGGTCTGCAGGTACAAATATATTTTACAAATAAGAAACCACAAACAAATTATATACATAAATATGTAAATAAAGATATACAATATTCGTTTAGTATAGGAACCTATAAATTTGTTTGACAAGCTTTAGAGACAGAGAGAAAAGCGATGGTCACCGAGCTTTTTTGCTGTTTTGTAGCGAGTACAAATACATTTTATATTTTCCTACACTGTATGAATATTGTTTTTATCCTGCAATTTAAACATTGAGATTATAGTTTTTTTCCATCAGAATCGGTGTTGAATGATATCGACATGACTTAAACGCGGAGTGCAACGAGGACCCCACATTGAACTGTTTCGTAAACAGTGACTTGAACATAAATGTTCGCTCGCAACAAAAGCAGGATACCAGGAAACTCACGTTTATCGGTTCATGGTACTTGCATAGTAGAAAGGTCGATCGCTGTATAAATATAAAACAAACATTGTTACATAAAATCAATCATGTACTACGGCATGGATGTTAAAGTGATTGCTTTTCACTATATCGTCTGTTTTTTCCAGTGTTGTAGTATGATGCAGGTACATCTGCCGTACAAAAAATGTTAACCACATATTATTGTGTTTGTTAACATACATCTCAACATATTTTTAGGAACGATAATTTTTCTATTTACCATTTGCAACATATGACTAAACCACTAAATATAAAGGAAATGTTATGGAGACTGATTGTTGAAATTTGTAATCAAGTTAGACATATCACGACAATCGGATAAAAAGTACTTTGAAATTATCATGAATAGATAGACGGTACTAGTATGGGCACAAAAATGGCCCCGTCATATGCCAACATATTTATGGGCCAACTTGAAAAACGCCTCTTGGCTAGTGCTCCATACCAGCCCTTATCATGGTTCCGATTCATTGACGATATTGATCTCAAATGGACAGATTCACAAGAACATCTTAATGAATTTCTAGGACACTGTAACTCTTTCCACCATTCAATAAAATTTACATATGAATCATCTATGGAGAAAATAAACTTCCTCGACACTACGAGTTACATCAAGAACGGAACCATTATAACGGACCTTCATACCAAACAAACGGACAAACATCAATTCCTTTCTCCTAAAAGTTGCCATCCTAAACACTGCTCCCGTGGCATCCCATTCAGCCAGGCATTGCGAATCAAGAGAATATGCTCTACTGAAAATACGCAAAATGCTAGACTTGGACAACTACATAAACATCTAGTTGTTCGAGGATACAATAACAACATCATTGATAGCGCTTTCGAAAGAGCAAACAAAACTAGTCGCCAAGAACTTCTAGAGTACAAAGATAAGAATAAAGCAGCTAACAGAACACCCCTTGTACTCACTTACCATCCTGATTTTAAAAATGTGTCTTCCATTGTTCAGAAGCATTGGAAAATTATAGAAAATGATTCAAATCTTAAAAAAGTATTTTCCTCACCACCAGTCATGGCCTTCAGAAGACCTAAAAACATCCGTGACAAATTAGTGACATCTGTATTAGCCAAGCAGCCTACTCCATCTCCCGGTTGCTACAAACAATGTGGTCGAAGGAACTGCTTATGTTGTAAAGCTGCCAATACAAGCAGTTCTTTCATCAGCTCCGTTACTAAACAAAATTATACCATCTACTCAAATTCCAACTGTAAAACGGAGAACTCAATTTATATATTAACATGTGACACATGTGGCATTCAGTATGTGGGAGAAACAATGGACAAATTTAATATTCGGCTCAATAACCATCGTTCATGATACAAAACCAACAAAAACTGTCCTCTCACAAGACATCTTCGTTCAACGAAACATTCTTTTGATAATGTTACCTTCCAAATCATAGAAGTCAACACCGAGTGGGACACTACGGCGAGAAGGAGAAGAGAAAATTTTTGGATCCACCAACTCCACACTTTAGAACCTGATGGTCTTAACGAAAAAGATGAGAAAAGATACAGGAAAGATAAAGAATAATTTAGTACACAGCATCGTCCTTTTTATCCTGTAATATTGGCCAATGGACGCTGCTAACTTCAACTACCAATTTTGTAAAAATCTTGAACTTCATCCAAATTATGTATTATTTTCAAGGCAGCTAAATTCAAGTGCAACATATACATTGAGCTGCAAAAGTTTCTTATCATCTACATCCGATTTCACCTGGATAGATGCACGCTTGATAAAGCTAGTTAGTCTAGCGAAATATTGCGTTTATTTTCATCATTTTGTAAATATTTTAAACATTCTTATATTTACATACTAAATAGTGTGTTAAAATTACATTGTTAGGCAATCTATAATTTTATTTGTGTAATTGAATTAATCTCTGTACTGATTAATCCACACTCCCATAGATTTGTATGTCATGTGCTGCTATTTATAGGCACTTATATATATAGATATATATATATATTAGTTAAACAATTTTTTTTATTAATTTTCGAAAATATCGTGCATAATCAAATTATCTTGTGTCAAAACATTTAAAAGTTAGGTTGTCTTATCGATTTTGGTCGTTTAAATATTTTATGTAATGCTGTAACGTCGTTTTCCGAAATTGAAGTCTTTTAACTAATTTCGAAATTTAGCTTCACCTCGGTGTGTTTGAATTGTTCTGATGATCGCTAATAGTGTCGTTAAAATCGGTAAACAAACGGCGAATTTTGAAAACGATCAAAATTTAACACGTAATTCAACACACCGTCTACGTCAAGATGAGAGGGAACGAGCCACTGGAATGTTGCAAAAATGAATGTTACAAACTGCATTTGCAAACCAATTTAATTCCTCCAGAATGACAATTAATAGACTTGTGTTTCGTCTGAGGGACACAGCCACACCAACTTATCACCCGCGTTCCGGAGGACCTCGAGCAACGACATAACGTCAAAATAAACAAATTCGTCTGATGCACCTACGCAATCGCAGCCAGGCGTATCCCAAGAGGAGCCAACAACAGAGTTGTAGACCAAACTGTGCGAAATAGCTAAATTGTCTACACATCAATTTTTACAAAATGGTCCTTAACTAAGTTTGAATCTGGCCAGATATAAAGTCAACTTCAGAAAGAGTCTGGTTTTAACATGTAGTAATGACAGTCTGTTTAAGAATTAGTACAAATTAATATTTGAATTTGATTATGCCTTGCAATGACTTATTTACCTCATTATATGCTATAACCTGATGGACATCACTTTAAGTTTTTAAAATGACATTGTAGGACAATTGGGGACACCGAACTTATTTTAACACCAAAAATATTAGTCAACTCTTACTTAATTTGATGTTTCATTTTGTAAGCTATGCTTAAAGTAAGGTTGAGGTAGGTACAAATTTTTAGTAAATGATCAAAATGGTTAATTTTTTAATCACCTTGTTATACAATGCCGATGGCAATGTTATGATACATACTATTTTTAGATAACATCAATGCATTGCAACTATCAATTCCTAACAACAGAAAATGGCAGTTAAATAACAAATATTCAAGAACATAGAGTAAATAACATAACAAACCTATTATGTGTGTCTAATGTTAGTGCAAGTGGATAAGGTACATTAACAATAGTGGTTAAATTGGATCCATCTGAATTACATCTCATAATATCTCTATTTCCTGTCCAGTATAGATGACTGTTTTCTGAGTCAAATGTTACGTAAAATGGGCTGTTTGTTGATATAACGAATTCAAAATTTACGGTTTGTTCATTTGGATAAGGGAATCTGAAATATGAGAAAATATGAATTAATATTGATCTTCGATCGTGTTACAGCATGGTTCATGTTCTTTATCAAGACAGGTTTCTTTATCTCCTCAATTGTATTTTGTTTTTAACTACATGTATTTCCATATGATAAGAATGTTGTACGTGTAGAAGAGTTATGTTGAGATATAAAAGAGATTAGTATTCCTCAGTATGTATTTTCTGTATAAAAAAAAAAGAGGAATACTTATTTTTACGAAATTGCCTGAAAAGACTATTAGCCGTCTGTTTACGGGTAATTTTTCGTACTTTCTGTTTCGTTTGAATTGACTCGTCTCCCGAAACTTCCGAATGATTGTTTATACTCCAACTGTGCCATTTGCGATGTCAAATCAGTATCACGTCAAAACAGAATATAGCTTCGCAAAACTTTACGTCGTCCGCTTCAAATTAAAAAAAATGATGTTTTACCCAAAACATTTCATTTGAAACAGTTGTCAGAGTTATAGTATGAAGAGAATAACTATACATTGTCTCTAAATATATATATACTAGATTCTTTCTGTATAGTTAAACACTTATTTGTTTGCTATTAGGACATTAGCAGCTTTATTGCCCCCTTGACAGCAAATTAAAACTTGCTATTTTCCTCATAGCCAGTAAATACGCGTGTATTGTTTTTTTTTCACAATTATCCCTTCACATCTTTATCTGCTTTTTCAGTTAATAAAACTATGCTATTGTTTACTTCTGTTTTTTTCTTTTATTTCGTATTGGTTAGTGAAACATGTAGCATGCATTTCTTGGTGGCAACATATGTTTTGTTCCATTTAATAACATATCAAGATATTGCCAGTCTAAAACAAATATTAATTACTAATTACAAATTAACAGTACCTATCGATGACATTTTCATGAAATCTTGGAACATACACATATCTTTCTTTCACATCGTAAGCTATGGAATATACGTTTGTACTAAGATTAGCTAGTTCTTCCACGACTCCTGTATCCAGATCTTTTTCTTTCATTTTATTTGAAGTGGTGAACAACAGTTTTTCTTGTATACCTGCAATGGCAAACTTTCAGGATGGCGTCATATAAAGAATAACCAGAAAATTGCAAGCAACTAAAGAAGATGTACGGGAGTCAGGAAAACCACACAGCCAGTAGATAGATATAAGAAGATGTGGTTTGAGTGCCAATGAGAAAACTCTCCATCCTAAGGTACACATTAGAAGAATGTTGACAAACAACATACTTTTACGTGTAAATGAAGTAAGCCAAATATCCGTTAGATCTTTTATTGTAATTACCAGATATACAAAAAAAAAAACAAACATATAGAACAGCAAAAATCTCAATTCGTAGAAGTTAGTAAAGACTGTAAAACATACGGCATCACTTAAGGTGGCTGGGGAGTCTTCCTCCATTTTGGATTTTGAAATAGCAGATAACGCTGGTCTAGATCTTTGATGAAATGTGCAAATTTTGAGAGTAAAATTGAGAATGGAAATGGGGAATGTGTCAAAGAGACAACAACCCGACCATAGAACAGACAACAGCAGAAGTAGTATGTAATTTATGTGTAAGACTTTTGATGTAAATATACAAAATTGTGGGTTTGATCATAATTACGGCTGTAATTTCTAAAAAAAAACACCTTATTTGTGTTTGATTAATTTTTTTTCAACTTTGCCAAATAAGGGGAAATAACTCAGATAAAGTAATTTTTATAATAGAAAGTGTTGTGAATTTACTTATTTTAATCTGTACCAAGAAAACAAGTTCGGTGACCCCATTTTTTTCTTTTTCTTATCTGTAAGCATGTTATAAGAGCTATTTTCTCGCATTTTATAATTCTATCATGTAGTTCTCTTTTTTTCACACACAATTTGATTTTCCATGCATAATCTATACAAAGTCTGACAATTTTGCACACCCTGTAGCGTGAAAAAAAGTCCGGTGACCCAGACTTTTTATTATATTTTTGAAAAAAGCATGATAAAAACTTCATTATGACAAATTATTAAAAAATTCTATAAGTTTTAATTAAGACGCCTCAGCCACCTTAAGGCCTATGCTACGCCCTTAAGCAGAAATTGCAAGTATATATAGGTTGAAAATGATTTCCGTTGAATAGATAATTTTTGTATAAAAAAGGATTGGTGAAAAAAACGAGTATTACCATGTGACATTTTCTACGTTATGGAAACTTTATTGTCACGTGCACTCTTGGTAGACATTTTGTATAACAACTGTAATTCTCCTCTAAGATAGCATTATTCGTTAAATTCACGTATTGCTAAACATGTGCTGTCCCCTCTCGAAATAATTCGAAGTTTGTTGAACACATCTATGTTATCGATCTTGAAATAAAGGAGACCCGATCACATACTATAGAGTTAATATAAAAAAGAATACGATGCGGTATGATTGCTAATGAGACAACTAGCCATTTGCAAGATCGTTTTACGACTGCAATGTTGACTGTTTAACATGTCGTCAGATGTCATGGTAGAGAGATTACCGCGATAAATGTATCCTAATACTAAAATGCCATAAAATTGACTGCAGAAAAACATTTTAAGACCAACAGTTTAAACCGCTTAAATTCCATAAAAAAAAAAAAACAGACTGTAATGAGTTAGATGAAGGCAAAATCAGAAGGGACAAAACAGATCTCAAACCATGTCAAACAGAACTGGTTGACGTTTCTGGCAATCATTTATGCGTTGGTAACAATTAGGTCTTGACTTCGACGGTAACACATCCATTGATAAGAAGAACATCATTGTTTCAAAGCATACCACGTGATTGGAACATTAAATGAGACGTAATTAATTCAATTTTCGAACTGCACACTTGATGTAGACAATAAAGTAATGAATGAAATTAATGTATATCTAAAATATTAAATGACTGAATAATAGCCAACGATAAATCTTACGGGGCGATGGATCATAAAATTATGATACAGTACACTACAAAATATAAAATATAACAAGTCTAAAAGGGTACAACATCACCAAAAAATAATTAAATCATGAACACATTTTTTGATATTTCGGATAACTAATATCCTTCATCAGTAAGATGTAAAATGAATCTTATCTTGTGGTAGTCAAACTGAAATAAAAATCTTGAATGCTATACAAATTATCGAAAACAATACGCTGGTAATTTTTTTTCAATATTGATGTTTGGTAGGAGGAATAAATTTCTTAAAACTGTAAGCCTGAATTACTGGAAATAAATGTGATGGTAGGGAAAATGAGTGACACATTCTATATTTTTTCATTTATGCCCTCTTGGGAAACTGTCCTAAGCTTTCTTATCCAAAACCTTTCCCGAGCAAGTCTGTCGGCTCTTGACCAACCCTCGTTGTGGTCTATGATAGTGGTGGTAAGGTTTTTGAGATCAGCTTGGGCGTGCCCAGGTGATCTCAAATGACGACTTACGGGGAGGTCGGGCTTGCAGGTGTAGTCACTTTGATGACCATTCATGCGTTTGTTGAATGGCTGTTCTGTCTCGCCAATATACTGCATGCCACATCGACACTGAAGAAGGTATACAACATTCTGGGTTTTGCAAGTTACATTGAAAAATATAGTGTACACAGACCCGGTGGAGTGGCAATTAAATGATTGAGTATTCAGTATTTGTTGGCAAGTCAGACATCGTCTGTTACCACACGACTTGCACCATCCTCCAGTGGAACAGCTTTTTTTAGAGGAGACATCAGCTCTCACAAATAAGTCTTTCAGACTTGCTGGTCTCAAAAAAAGCTAAGACAGGAGGTTTGGGAAAGATCTTGGACAATTTAGGGTGCTTGGCAATAGTTTGCCAATTGTTATGGATCAAACGTGAAAGGTTAGTAAAGGCGGGATTGTATGTTAAAACAAATGGAACTATTTTGCTGCGCCTCTTCTGTTTGTATTGTAATAGGTCATTGCGGCTGTTATTGTTAGCTCGTGCAAACCCCTTATCTATGTCCCATTTCTTATAACCTCGTTTGGTTAAAAATCCGCGAAGTTCCTGTAACCGTTTAATGACAGCCTCCTCAGAGGAGCAAATCTGCTTTACTCTGAGAGCTTGACTATAGGGGATACTTTTTGTACAGTGTTTGGGGTGAAAGCTTTGAGGAGAAAGGTACTGATGTTTATCTGCAGGTTTACAGTAGGGGTCTGTTGATATGACACCGTCCTTAATAGATGTAGTTGTGTCTAAGATATTTTAGAGTCGGAAATTTCATATGTAAATTTAATTGACTGGTGGGCGTTGTTTGCATGTCTGATGAAATCATCTGGTTTAAGTTGGGATTCAATCAATTTCATGTCAACATCATCGATGAAACGGAACCAAGACAGAGGTTTGGATAAAGATACCGAATGTTTAGTCCAGCTGCTTACTCTGGTTCTGAGTGCAACAATTTCACCTTTAATGGTGAACATTACCTTCAGATAAACGGGACAGTGATGGGGACGAAAATGGCACCGTCTTACGCCAATATTATCATGGGCAAATTAGAGAAACAAATCATTTCAACATCTTTATCAAAACCTCTGTCTTGGTTCCGTTTCATCGATGATGTTGACATGAAATTGATTGAATCCCAACTTAAACTAGATGATTTCATCAGACATGCAAACAACGCCCACCAGTCAATAAAATTTACATATGAAATTTCCGACTCTAAAATATCTTTCTTAGACACAACTACATCTTTTAAGGACGGTGTCATATCAACAGACCTCAACTGTAAACCAACAGATAAACATCAGTACCTTTCTCCCCAAAGCTGTCACCCCAAACACTGTACAAAATGTATCCCCTATAGTCAAACTCTCAGAGTAAAGCAGATTTGCTCCTCTGAGGAGGTTGTCACTAAACAGTTACAGGAACTTCGCGGATTTTTGACCAAACGAGGTTATAAGAAATGGGACGTAGATAAGGGATTTGCACGTGCTAATAATAACAGCCGCAATGACCTATTACAATACAAACAGAAGAGGCGCAGCAAAATAGTTCCATTTGTTTTAACATACAATCCCGCCTTTACTAACCTTTCACGTTTGATCCATAACAATTGGCAAACTATTGCCAAGCACCCTAAATTGTCCAAGATCTTTCCCAAACCTCCTGTCTTAGCTTTTTTTGAGACCAGCAAATCTGAAAGACTTATTTGTGAGAGCTGATGTCTCCTCTAAAAAAAGCTGTTCAACTGGAGAATGGTGCAAGTCGTGTGGTAACAGACGATGTCTGACTTGCCAACAAATACTGAATACTCAATCATTTAATTGCCACTCCACCGGGTCTGTGTACACTATATTTTTCAATGTAACTTGCAAAACCCAGAATGCTGTATACCTTCTTCAGTGTCGATGTGGCATGCAGTATATTGGCGAGACAGAACAGCCATTCAACAAACGCATGAATGGTCATCAAAGTGACTACACCTGCAAGCCCGACCTCCCCGTAAGTCGTCATTTGAGATCACCTGGGCACGCCTAAGCTGATCTCAAAAACCTTACCACCACTATCATAGACCACAACGAGGGTTGGTCAAGAGCCGACAGACTTGCTCGGGAAAGGTTTTGGATAAGAAAGCTTAGGACAGTTTCCCCAGAGGGCATAAATGAAAAAACATAGAATGTGTCACTCATTTTCCTACCATCACATTTGTTTCCAGGAACTCAGGCTTACAGTTTTAAGAAATTTATTCCTCCTCCCAAACATCAATATTGAAAAAATTACCAGCATATTGTTTATTGATAATTTGTATAGCATTTAAGATTTTTATTTCAGCTTGACTACCACATGTCAAGATAAGATTCATTTTACATCTTACTGATGAAGGATATTGGTTATCAGAAATATCTAAAATTTGTTCATGATTTAATTTTTTTTTGGTGATGTTGTACCCTTTTAGACTTGTTATATATATATAATATATATATATATATATATAACGTCTAGATAATATTCAACGATCTTTCTTACGAGGGCGCTGGATCGATACGAGTAACAATACATGTACACAATAAATATATTATATAAACGACTAAA